ACTTAAAAAAAGTCATTTTAAGCTAATTTTCTTAAGTTGCTCCGGAGGTGTTTCTGATTTCCGCTTAAGCGCGCATCTGTTTGGGGGGGCATGAAATGACTTAAATGCCCCTCCAAAACTTCAACAATTACGGTTATATAAATAAAAAAAATCTCTTTTTTTGTCTCTTCTCTCTCTCTGTCTGGCGATTTTCGGCCATTTCGGGCGATTTCCGACGAACCCAGAGATCTCTCTCCCTTGCTCTCTCTCTCTCTCTCTTACAGCCATGGCACCGAACCTAGGGTTTGTTGTCGTCGGGTTCGGAGGGTGGATCGCGATCGCCAGATCACGGCAGGTTGCGATTTCCGGCGAACTCTCTCTCTCTCTCCCAGCAAAGAGACCGATCAGTGTTTGTGAATGGGCTAGGGAAAATATAAGGAAAAGGGAAATATATATACATATATATATATATATATATATATGTTAGGGTTTTGAGACTTGAATATCTATCTATATAATAACAGCTGCTTCTTCTCTTTTGCTCAATCGGAAACCCTAGCCAACTCCGAGATTGATCTCCCCTGCGATTTCGTTGCTTCTTCTCTCTTGCTCTCCCCTGCTATTGTTCTCTTTTGCTTTTTCTTCTTCAACCTAGATCAGATTTCAACTGATCCAGAAGAACAGAGAGGGAGAGAGATAAAGAGGGAAGGTGGGGAGGAGACGTGGGTAGGTGGAACGGTGGGGGGAATTGTTTGGGCGGGAATCATCTATTGATTTGAACCATTGATTTTTCTTAGAGTTGATCTGAGCCTTTGAAATTAAATGTATCTCTGATACATTTTATACATTTTCAAAAACCCTCCTATCTTATTATATAGATATATATATTTTAAAATATGGGGTGTAAGGAATTGTTTTTGTTGTGTAAGTAAAATTTCTAAAATAAAAACAAAAAGTTAATTTTTTATATTGACTTTCTAACTAAAAATTCATATTCCAAACATACATAAAATTTGCTAAATGATGTAACTTCAGCATTAAACTTTCTAGGAAAGAAATTTCATTGTTTGGGCCAAAACCCATGTTATTTCACTTTATTTCATATCAGTCCAATCCAATTCAACCCCACACCAACAGTAATTTGTGAGTTCTATATTGGAATCCCGAAAATATCCTCACGCAGAGCACGCCTTCGATGTTTTACCAGAAGGATATTTGCGCCATTTCGTTATTACCATATGTAAGGCTAAAAAAAATTGAAAAAATTACAAATTAAGTCGATTCAAATCAAACCGTACAGTTTTATTTGATTGGTTTTTTCAAGGTACAATTTGACAAATAAGTGAATCATATTTTACACTTGAGTATATGATTTTATAATTTTATAATTATGATTCTTGTTTGAAATTGAATAAAATCATTTAAATATATATTTAATTTATTATTTATTATAGACACTCAAGTATCTTATCATTACCTCATATAAATTCATAAATTTTTAGCTCTCTTTTTGCAAGTGCACTATTGTATAATGACCGAATTAGTTTTAAATAATTATTATTTGCAAAATAATGGCATTATTTAATGTTTGAGTATGTTATGATCTAGAAGTGGTTCAACCATTAGGCCATTTAGGCATAGTTTGGGAAGTTAGTTTTGGTGGGTTAGGGGCTAAAATAGTCACAAAAAATAAAATAGGTTATTTTAGCCATAAAAAACAAAATATCAAATTCAACCCATAATCATTACACTCCTCTCTCACAAAAAAGTCAAAAAAGTCAAAAAGCCAACCCACTTCCCAAACGGAGGCTTAATCTATCGCCTAAGCCTTCATTTGGTATTGGTTATTTTAGTTGACATTTTTGTGCTGAGACTGGATTTTTTAGCCTTGTTTAGTTTGACACTTGACTTTTTTGACTTTCGTGAGAGAAATGTAATGATTATGGATAAAAAAATAGTATTTTGTCTTATTGATTTATATAGTTTGTTTTGTCTTTTTGTGCTTTTTTAGTCACAAATCTTTAGCCAAACGACCTCTAAGGTTTTTAATTTTTTTAGTAAATTCTTATTGTTGAAGGTCTTAATTTTTTAAAGAGTCAATAAAATAAGGTCTTATTTTGATATTTAGGGGTTGTTTGGAATGTTTTAAATAAGTGTATTTTTTGACTTTTTGGACTAAAAAGTTGAGAAAAAAATATGGTTGTTTGGGTTAACTTTTTGACTTTTTATGAAAAAATGTATATTAAAAAATTGTATAAATTAGTGTGTAAGAAAAAATTAAAATGGTATTGGTTTTTTTAGTTGACATTTTTGTGCTGAGACTGGATTTTTTAGCCTTTTTTAGGCTAAGTTTGGGAATACTAAATAAGTGCACTTTTTGTCTTTTTAGACTAAAAAGTTGAGGTTGAAAATATGAATGTTTAGGTTAACTTTTTGACTTTTTATGGAAAAATGTGTAATAAAAAATTGTAAAAATTAATTTATAGGAGAAAATTAGAATTGGGAGTTGTGCAGCCGTAATTGTTGACTTTTGGTGAATAGTGATAACTTTTTAACTTTTTGAGTAACTTTTTGACTTTTTGACTTTTGGGGTGTTCCCAAACTTGGCCTTAGTTTGATACTTTTGACTTTTGTGAGAGAAAAAGTATAATGATTATGGATAAAAAAATAGTATTTTGTCTTATTGGTTTATATAGTTTATTTTGTCTTTTTGTATTTTTTTAGTCACAAATCTTTAGCCAAACGACCTCTAAGATTTTTAATTTTTTTAGTAAATTCTTATTGTTGAAGGTCTTAATTTTTGAAAGAGTCAATAAAATAAGGTCTTATTTTGATATTTAGAGGTTGTTTAGGATGTCCTAAATAAGTGTACTTTTTGACTTTTTTGACTAAAAAATTGAGAAAAAAAATATGGTTGTTTGGGTTAACTTTTTGACTTTTTATGGAAAAATATGTATTAAAAAATTGTATAAATTAGTGTGTAGGAAAAAATTAAGATATGGAGCTGTGCAACCGTAATTTTTGACTTTTAATAAATAGTGATAACTTTTTAATTTTTTATATAACTTTTTAACTTTTTGATCATATGCCAAACTTAACTTTAATCTAATATCTTACAAAATCTTGGGCCACTACTATTATGATCACATTGTGAGATGACAGTTTTTATAAAAATTGTGATTCTATATCAAATAATTTTATAATTCAATTTAATTTGATTTTTAAAATTGAACAAAATCCAACAACTCTCAAACTGGCCATATGACTCTTCGGATTTGTAGGGGATGGATCATCCTTTCTTCATTAGAGAAGTTATTGTGCCTGTTTGGCAGAAATTATAATCAGCTTATTTCAGCTTTCAGCTTAATTTAAGTTATTTTGATATGTTTGGTTTAGCTTATAGCTTACAGCTTATAACTTTTTGGAAGTCAGAAATCAGCTTATTCTTTGAGTGGGGTAGGAGATACTTTAAGAATAAGTCAGAAATCAGCTTATGTTTATAGTTATAAGTTATAAGCTATTTAGGCATAAGTTATAAGCACTTTCCCACAGCTCTACCAAACAGGGCTATTATTTAGTTTTGGAGTACTATCACGTAATATTTTAAGATTATTTTAATTGGTAGAATATATAAAATTCATAATTGTATATTCCCTCCATCTTAAAATATTAGTTATTTATTTCATTTTTTATTGTCCAAAAATATTAGTTCTTTTTTAAAAATCAAATATAAAAACAATATAAATTTCTTATTTTGCCCTTCTTTTAAATTCAGTAACAACATAAAAAGTACAATTATGACATTGATATTCTCTAAAAAAATATACTATCAAAGGGTAATTTTGAAAAATTAATTTTTTTAAAGTGTAATAATTATACTATTAAAAAAAGTTAAATTTTTCAAAAGAAATTATTACTTTAAGATGGAGGGAGTATTAAATAATTAAAAAATAATAAAAATCCATCATATCTTATGATTAATGAAAAACACCATCACAGAACACTTTAGCAACCTCTCCCATTTAACGACACGTGTTCTACTAACTTTACGGTAATATTTTGGTGTCGCACTTTTATTGGTCACTACCAATTTTTCAATTTTTGATTTACCGCGGGAAACCTTTTTTGTTTTTTTGCCTCTCCCCCATAGCCCGTCCCGCGCCAGAAAAAATGTTTGGGCGCAAAATTAGCAAATATAATACAAGCATCATTACCTAACGTGCACCGGTGTATTTGATGAAATAGTTTTTATTTAAGAGGTTGTTTAGAATGATCTAAATAAATGTATTTTTTATTTTTTTATAAAATGATATATAAAAAAGTAGAAAGGTGATGTGATAAAAAAAAATAAAAAGATGAATTATTTCTCATATGCCAAACTTGGCCTTACGATTTATTTATGTGACAAAAATAATTTAATAAATTTACAAATTAATTATCAAAAAATTAGGAGTGAAATATTTTTCATTTTTATTTTTTAATTATATACAAAAAGGTGGGTCTTTCAATTTTTGTCATTACTTTTTTAGTTTTTAATGATATTTGCTCAAAATTATTTTAAAAAAAACAATGTAATATTAAATTTTAGGGTACTTACGTGTAGGTTCTAATAAGTGGACTTATTATCTAATAGGACATATGACAAAAATTTGTCATAAAAAAAGTCACTAATTATAAATTTTAGCAACAATTTATAAAAATCATGACATGAAAAAGTTATTAATTATCAATTTTTTGCGACACATATAAAAAATTATCACAAAAAAATTACTTTTAGTGACAATTTTACCGAGACTTTACTTTCAATAAAATTTTATGAAAATTAAGTCCAATTATTAACACCTATTGGTAATTTACCATAAATTATTTTTCTATTAGACTGGTTAACAAGGTTAAAAAAATTAAAAATTAACCAAAAAGAGTGGCTGGCTTTATCAGCTCATAATAAAAGAAGCTGGCTATCGTACGCTCAAGCGTATCTTAGCATCTGACACTTTCTTTAACTAGGGAATTAAGGAATTAAAAGACATTCCATTTGCTATTGTAAAGTAGTATATATTTGTTAAAGTTGCAGAGCTTTCAAGTGTTGCTTTCAATGGCGAATCAGCCACTAACCCGCAAAAGGGTCAATGCAATTCGTCGTGCCTCTGATGGAAGCGCCTTCCACAAGTGGTATACCTTTTCTCTCCCTCTCTCTCTCTCTCTCTCCCTCTCTCTCATTCCTGATTTCTCTCATGGATTTCAACTTCGTATGTGTTTATACATATATATATATATACTTACAGAAAAAATTGTTTATAATTACAGTCATTACTGTGGTGTTTTGGTCGCCATTGCTCTCTCTGACATGCACGAGTGTAAGTCCAGAAAGAATGTGAAAAGATTCAAAGGCGAAATTAGAACTCAAAATGTTAAAGATCTGAGCTTTCAAGACCAACCCAGATCACCTTTTCGCAATTTTATGTACGCTCTGTTCTTCCTAGTAGTAACGATTGTATGCATATGTATACAAACATAAATGTATAAATGCTTTTATATAGATGTATTGCGTGAAGATATACACACGTGTATCAAATTTATGCCTATACCCAGAATTTTACCAAGAATGGTAAAGAGTGGTTCAGATTGAATTGATGTATTGTGGGGTCTGCATAGAATGAATATGAACCATTGGTTGAGATTTCTGGGTATTCTGGGTACTTAGTATTGTTGCTTGCTTGTGTTATTGCTTCTATGCAGCCATGTATAAATGCGTTTACAAATATGTATATGTTTGTTGAAGGGGGGACCATGTTCTAGATTTCAACAATATTAGGTACCCATGAAAAAATATTGAGAAAAATGTTCAGAATTTGGAAGTTTACTTATATTTTGTGTCCAATCACAGTTTTAATGTTGGAAGTCCGGTGAAATTTGTGGAATTTGCAAGTTATTCTTTGTATATTTGGAGTCTGTCCATGTCTTAGTTTGGTGTACTTTCAATAGGGAAAGTTTTGTGGAGACTTGTAAGGCTAAAAATCAGATTGAAGTCGATCGAAAAGGTTTTGAGACATGGAGGACTATGTCAAAACAGGTAATAATTTTATGAGGAATTCATAAATTTCTTCACTAATTGTATACTGTACTTAATTTGTGCTTTGAATTGATTATCTCTAGGTTTTAATTGTCTTCATTAATATGGTTTTAGGAGAGGCTGCCTTATGTCCTTCAAGCTGCAAAGGTGAACTCGAGTTATGAAAAAGCTTTGCTTCAAGAGGTTGAACATATGTCATGGGTAATCCTTAATCAGAATTTAATTCATCTTGATGTTTTGACTTCAATTCATGAATTTGAATCCCATTTAAGCCTTTGTTGCAATAGTGATTGTGGACTTAAAATAGAGATATTCCCATTTGGTAAAACTTGTTTCTAGCTTTTTCTAGCTCAAGTTTTGAGTACTTCTGTTATTTGACGTTTTACATTGCTAATGTTGTTTGGTAAAATTTTTCAAATTTTCAACTTATTTGCCTTTTCATGTCAAAAAGCTAAAAATCCATTTTTTGGGGGTAAATTACACTGACACTCCCAAAGGTTTGGTCCAATTACATTTCATCCCTTAACATTCTAGAAATTACATTCCCATCCCTGTGGTTAATAGTCTCATTTCACAAATCATTTTCTTATAAAAAAGATAACAACTCCTAATAGAAAAATAAAGGAATTTACATTGAAAAAAATAATAATAATAAAGCAAAGGAAAGGGAAAAAGAAAAAAACCAGAGTAAGTAAAGCAAAGTAAGAAAAAAGAGAATGCATGAATTCAATGTCTTCATTATGCTTTAATAATTACAATGACAGGGGGGGTTAGTGTAATTTTTCAAACGTCAGGGAGTGATATGTATTAAACTCAAATTTCAAGGGTGTAAGTATAATTTATCCCTTTTTTTTTAATCTAGGTATGGTATGGGATTTAATTTTTAAGCATTTTACCAAACCAGGTATAGTGGCTGTAAACATAACAAAACTAGGCAGATGTGGTGTACAAGTAATAATGTGATTGGGTGCCTATGATAAGAGACAATCATCATGTGGACATTGTAAATTTGTATTTGCTATTTCAGTGATGTGATTCATACTATTTCAAGAGTCGTTATTAACGTAAAAAGTATATGCTTGCCATAATTTAGTATTACTTGGATCACTCCATTTCCCTTATTTTCTAGTATACTTTTTGTTTCTTGTTTATTTTGAAACATGTATATCATTTTAGCATTTTCAAGGTAACTACGAGAAACTTCTACATTATTACTGCTATCTTCAATTTGTCATCACATTGTTTATTCATGCTCAAGTGCTGACTGTCACCTATGATTGTAATCCTTGCGATGTTAAATTCATCTAGTACTTCCTTTTTGATATTGGGTCTGCCATGCCCTGTTGTCTTCCATAGTATGATGCTTCCCAGAACTTATACTTTACAGATTCATAGTGTTGAAGTTGGCAATGCAATGGAGACTTTGCCAATTCTTCCAAATTTGAGTTTCCTAAAAAGTTGATGATCATATGCAGGTGGATGATGATGAAGCAGATTCAGCAGAGGTTGGGAAGTATGATAAGGTTTGTCCATTCCCTACGTTCACAACTCAGATTTCTAAAATATGTTGCTTGATTGGATTATTAGCTTTTTTATTTTGGATTTAGATGCTTTCTTTTTATGTATATATGATTTTCCATCATCCCCTGTTGAGTTGATCACAGAATTACGAAGACAATGCATACTATGAAGACTCTGAAAGCTTCTGGTCTGAGAGCAATGAGAGCTTCGATGCCAATGATTGGTACTTCCCCCACTTTAAACCTTGTCCCTGCATGTTTGTGGATTTTTTTTTCTTTCTTGGAAAATAGAAATGTTATTTGGGGTTGAGGACGGCTGATGATATTTAGCCAAATGGTCTTCCATCTATTGTTTCAAGATTTTTCATGCTGCATGTTTATAGTTTTAGCACGGCTTTACTATTTTGCATGTTGATTCTCACAATTCTTGTACGCACGTAGAAGCCAATCACAGAACCGGGCGCAACCCTCTCACATCATGTTCTATGATTAGTTTTTTTATGTATTCCTGGACTTTTTCTGATTCTTATGTATAGAAAATCTCCCTTGTGACACAGGGAACTATTGCGTCCACATTTTACTGTGGTATCTCGTTGAAGATTGAAGGTTGTGGCATGGGATCTTTTGTCTCTAAAAAGATGTTTATCCCCCTTATCCCATGTATTTTCAACCATATGATTTAGTTTTTAATTTAAAGAAAATTAGATTATGTGGTTGTGAGTGATGATCAGACAACCAGAATAAACTCCTTTTTTTGGACAGAAGATAGTGTCGTGGACCAATGGGGGTCATCCAACTGGCAATGGTGGAAATCCAGATGCAGACAGATTTTTTGCCATTGCCTATTCTTTCAGCAGGCAAGTCATTTTGGCTATTGTAAAGTGCCATTAGGAGTTTAGTATTCTAATTTCTCACCAGTAGTTTTTTTGTTTCCACTTTGTTGAATTCACAAGGTTTCCTGTGACATTGTTCTTCCTTTATTGTCTTTTTTGGAGATTAGTGGAGAAGCCTTGTTATTCACATGATGTGTTTTGTTAATATACTTATTTTTGGGATGTTGTCTTGTCTCCCCTATGGCGAATAATTTATGTCTCCATTCATTTATATACGAAAGAAAAAGGGGAAGCACTGATATCTTCTAGTTGTGAATTTGGTAGGCGAGCGTAAAAGTCCTCTTCATTGAGGCTGAAAAGAACTAAAACACAATCGTCTGATAATTGGTTGGCAATCACAATTTCTGTAAGGACTGATTGATCCTTGCTGGCACGCTCACATTTACAAAAATACCCTTCGAAAAGCCAAAAAGCCAACAATATCCATTCATTTATATACGAAAGAAAAAGGGGAAGCACTGATATCTTCTAGTTGTGAATTAGGACTCTGACCAAACTTTATATATATATATATGAGGTCTATATTCAAAATCTCTGTTCTTATGTATCCAAAATTTATATCAAGTAGATTAACTTTTGAGTCGCCTAAGCGGGAGTGGGGAATTCGAACTTAAGATCTCTTGCTTAGCAAGAGAATCCAAGACGATTGATCCACTTGTTAATACTCTTCTAAAGTCTAATAATGAATGGCCATGTTTGTTGCAATTTTTTGGAATTTATAATTTTATTTATTTATTTTAAATTTAGGAATTTGTGTTAATTTGGTTAGTGTAGTAAAAGAGTAATGTTATAAATTCTTAAAACGTCACTCGTAAATTTATTTATAATGATGTGGCAAAGGATTAGGCTTTAGTTGGTTGATTTTTATATGGGATTAAATTTCTCACGGATGTGCCGTGAATACTAATTTTACGAACACTCTATCAAGTATATTGACACGTCATGTATAATAAAGAAATAGTGGGATAGCTTATTTCATACCATAGAGAGAGAGAGTTGAAGCTTTTAATAACTTAACTACGGTTCGAGTTTTAAATAATATAAAATAAATTATAATGAATTGAATTAGGTTGAGCCCACTTTCAAAAGTTGGGCAAAAAACCGTTCTTCTTCTCCGACGATCAAAAACTTAGACCTCAACCCCATCTTCTCCGGCAAGAAAAAATCGAGACCATCAAACGTGCATATAATCTAGTGAGTTGTTTGATTATCTCAGTTCTTCTCCTTTTATATTTTTTGAAACAATTTTCCGAATTGTGATATAAATTAAAATTGTTTGGAACAATTTTGATCGGGTCGCAACGGAGAGTGGGTTTAGGAAGAGCAAAGGATGAACCATCATTCACCATTAACTGAATGTTCATCTCAATATCATTTTGTATATTGGATTACAAAATTAATCTCAGCCTCTGTTTTGGTTTTTTTTCTTTTTCTTTCTTTTATTGTCTTTGGATTAAAGATTGGAGGGAAGATAGAAAAAGCAAAAGCGAAAAGTGAGAATAAAAAACTTAGACCTCAATTTTGTTTTCTCTGGCAAGAAAAAAGTGAAACCACCATCAAATGTGAATATAATCTAGTGAGTTGTTTGATTATCTTAGTTCTTCTCCCTTTCTATTTTTTGAAACAATTTTTCAAATCGTGATATAAATCCATCATTCTCTGCCTGGAACGATTTTGATCAGGTCACAACTAGAGCAAAGGAAATCCAGTGAAAAATACCAGTAATATGGTGTTGAGGACTTGAAGCCAGAGGTCCGATCGAGGATAGTGATGTTGGTACTGATGTGGTGGGAATGTGTTTCAGAAAACAGTGCTCGTGGGATTGGGATTTCGCCCATGGTGGCCAAGCAAGGATTGAGGATTTGCAGTTGAAATCTGCTCTTGACCCTCCAAAGTAGTTTATTTTTATTTTTTTGATTAAAAAAATTAATTATTTAATCCCATTTGTAGCTTGTAAAAGTTTTAGTTATTGGCGTTTTCTTTCTCTAAAACACCTATTCAGGCTGATTTTTGGTCTATTTTTTACTCAAGTCTTGTTTGCTCAAGTCATAGGATTGGGAATGATCTAGTTCTTCTCTGAGAGTTCAATTTTGTGATTGGTGTTTCTTGGCTTTTTTGTTAGGATTTTTTTCTTTATTTTATTTTCATTTTGTTTTTATTTTTTTTTCCCTTTCTGTTTTTTGGCTACGATGCTATTTTTTAGCTTTCTTTTTGTTGATGTTTGTCTCATTATCATTTTGTATATAAGATTTCATCAATAAAATTTTTATTTTTGTGAATCAGAAAAATATAAGTACTATTTTATTTGCATTAAAGGAAAATCAAATTTTAGTGCTGCTTGTTAAATCTTATTGTAACCATCGACACCAAAGGCACACTCAATATTGCAATAATCCAGTTGAAACTTTGATTTTATATATATTTGGTGAAGTTACTTTTTCATTAGAGCTTGCAACAAAAGTGATGTAAGTGGGGGGCGGGAATTTCTAGGTGTATGGAAAATTTTTTAGGAGCAAGTTCTAAATGGGGAATGGAATTTTTGTCCAAAATAATAGATGGAACTCCACCTATATACCTGTTTTTTTGTTCCAGCTACGAGACGAAATAGATGTGAATTTTTTTGAGTCTAGTAATTTTCTCTCTAGCTTCATAAATAAATTATAATAAAATCACTCATCAAATAAAATAGAATCTTTATAAAATTTTTGAACCTCATGTTATATGTTGTCTTGGTTTGGTAGTGTAAGGTTTATTAGAATCAAAGTTCAATCAGAATGTCTATTCTCACATTTAATTCAATAAAAAATAATGAACATACATCACAAATGAAATCATCATTCACCATTAACTGAGTGGGTTTGATTTGTGTTTCTATTATACTTATACTGATTCAAAATTAAAAATCTATGGTATAACCTAGATCACATTCAAAAAAATAAATTTGATCAACCTCTTTTATTTTTTATTCCTAATAAATAAATAAAAACTATTTTATTTTCAATTTTTAAACAACAACATTACAAACCCACACTTATTAACCCAGAATTTACTCACAAAAATAAGTCAATGGTTTAAATTCATTTTACCCATAGACCCCGTAATTCATCAATTTAATTTTTACCACACAAACCCATTTAAGGTAAATTATGGGTTCCGAAGGATGAGTTCATAGGCCAATCTTTAATCCAAAGACAATAAATGAAAGAAAGACAAAAAAACTAAAACAGAGACTAAGAGTAATTTTGTAATCCAATATACAAAATGATATTGAGATGAACATTCAGTTAATGGTGAATGATGGTTCATCCTTTGCTCTTGCCAAACCCACTCTCCTTTGCGATCCGATCAAAATTGTTCCAGACAATTTTAATGTATATCACGATTCAGAAAATTGTTTCAAAAAATATAAAAGGAGAAGAACTGAGATAATCAAACAACTCACTAGATTATATGCACGTTTGATGGTCTCGATTTTTTTTTGCTGGAGAAGATGGAGTTGAGGTCTGAGTTTTTGATCGTCGGAGAAGAAGAACGGCTTTTTGCGCAGCTTTTGAAAGTGGGCTCAACCTAATTCAATTCATTATAATTTATTTTATATTATTTAAAACTCTAACTGTAGTTAAGTTATTAGAAACTTCAACTCTCTCTCTCTATGGTATGAAATAAACTATCCCACTATTTCTTTATTATACAGGACGTGTCAATACTTGATAGGGTGTCATAAAATTGGTATTCACGGCGCATCCGTGAGAAACTTAATCCCTTTTTATATAATTCAATTATTAACAAATTGTTCATGTTATTGAGAGTAAATTTAAGAGGTGATATTTTAAGGGGTCTTAAGCATTTTCAAATAAAAATAGCTTAAATAAGTTTTAAAAAAACAATTATTAAAGGTTCAGAGAGAAATAAGTCTATTTTCTACTTTTTAATTTACTTTCAATTTATAACAAAATTACACCAAACAGTGTTTCAATGGGGGAACTTTCATTACTCTGGTCTCAACTACCTGTGTCAAACTTTTGGTCTTTCAATTTGTAAATTGGGTTCTGATTGTGGTCAAATTACAACATAAGCATGAAGAATTGTACATTTTTGCATTTTTCAAAAAAGAATAATTTTAATCTAGATTTTGTTGATTTGTTTCTAGATAAAATTTGTACGCATGCATCTCTTTGTTTTCATAGAGCAGATATGGTATAAGATAGAAAAAATGTATCACTAAAAAATGTATCTTTCAATAATATCTGTTACATATTGAAATGATTGCCATGTATAATGAAGTGTAAAACATTTCAACTTCATTGATAAAAGAAACAAGAATAATTTTAAATAAAGTTTGCTAACAGTCGATTAGATTTGTGAGATTTGAACGAATCAACAATGTTAGAGACCCCAAAATTTTATCAAAGATTCTATCAAATGTTTCATATGGATGTGGGACCCACATGACATCCACATTGTGTGGGTCCTACACCCATATGAGACATTTGGTAAAAATTTTGAGATCTCTAGCATTATTCTTGAACGAAATAGACAAGATAATTAAAGCCTATTTTGGAAAGTGGGTTAAAAATCACTTTCCAGTTTTTAATCCACTTTCTTCTCTCACAAAAAAGTCAAAAAAAGTTAAAAAGTAACTTTTAACTATCTTTCCAAAACACCTCCAAGTTGAAAAAAATTAATTATCTTAAAATTAGAGAAAAGCTTTAGATTTTACTTATAAATTATCAATTTTTTAGTTTTTTGCTTTAAATAAATTATGTGTTTTTTTTTTTGCTCCAAAAATGAATTATGTTTATCTTGTTGGAAATGTTGGTTTTATAGGCTTATTTTGTGCCAACTTTGAACCCAAATTTGGATGGAGCCTATATGTCTTTTAAGGTGCGTCCAAAGAGGTGACGTGTTCTTTACTGCATGGCAAGTCACTCGGTGAAAACGGTTTGTCAAAACTATTTATGAGTGAATGGGAACTGATGTTGTTTTCGGGTTCGTGAAATAGACTATTAAAGAAGTAAAATATGGGTTTCCTTGAAATGGTTATCTCATATTGGAAACATCAGAGAACTTATGTGTGTATATAAGTTCTAGGTGACAACACTTGAGTTGTGCCCCAAGGGGCACCCCAAGTTTGTTGAATGAAGGAATTATGGACAAAGTGAACCTTAGCCCAAACCACCACACGAGCCGT